CCATGCACTTTGCAAGCCTTTAAGCAAACATCTTTGTTCATTTTTTTCCTCCCCTTCAGAGTTGCAAAATATAGTCCCTCTTACTGAAAGCAGAAGCTAGAGGCACGATTTTACTCTAGGAATAAAATATTTTAAATTCTACAGTGATTATTACACCATGCAGTTAACAAGCACACACAAGCAGGAAAAAGTGTGAGTACAGAGGGCAAGAGAGTAAGGATGATTACTCTAATACTTACTACTAACTTCTCTAGTACAAAGTACTTGAGAAAGATATGGATGCAGAGTACAGCAAAATATATTCCTAGGGGACCTGAAAATAGGTCAATCTTGAGGCAGATAAAAAAGCATTATCTTCTCCACAGTGCTAATTTAGAAAAGCTATATCTTGTTAGTTGTACTCTTCTCTAGCAGAAACAGTCTTTGCTCTGAATTAGTTCAAGCTTGCTTGTCATCTTGTGTTGTTTCAAAGTTATGAAGAGCCTGTGACTTGGCACTGACTCAGTAGTAACTGCTAGTTTTTAATACTAAAACCAGCAGAAATTAATATTTTATATGAGTCTGGAATCACCTGTTCATTTCTATTACAGAACATTTGATTTTTTTAACAAAGCTTTACCTGTGTAATTGTGATCCTTTGTAGATTAAGAGTTTAAACATATGCTTTGCAAAACTAGTTGTGTAGGAGGCTGTGAAAGAAGCCACTGTCCCATAGGAAAGGAGAGGAACACTAGAACATGAAAAGATGTGAACATTGACAGTGATTGCTGAGGGAATACGCAGCCAACTTACAAAGGAAATGTGCTAGCTCTGCTAACCTGGGACACAGGCACCATAGCCTTTGTGGAAGCAAAGACAGCAGTCACTGTAATATTTAAAAACTACTAGATATGGACCAACTTGCTCTTTTGGAAATTCTAAGAGACAGTATTCTCATTAAAGAAACAGAAAATAGCTTAAATTGAAGGGAGTGAGTTCACACTATTGTTTTTCCTTTAACAAGATGCAGTTTTCAATCCCTGTATTATCAGTGCTCACTTTAAGAAAATTCCTTTGAAAATAAACAATTAAATATAAATAAGCAAAATAATAAAATATGTAATATGCAGCATACATTGCTTTCCACAGGCATTGCCTTCAACTACCTAGTAAGCAAAGCAGTGCAACAAGCAAGTAAACACGGTGGTAGGTATCTTCAATCATTCTACCTTTGGTTGCAGAGCACTGAATTCCACAGGGTCTTGAAAAACTCAGAACTGTCCAAAATGTGAACACATGAGTAAAGGAAAAGAGTGAAAACATCAAATGGTAAATTGTGTAGGGCCTTCTTCAGTCAAAAAAGTGCTCTTTTTGGTAGCTCCTACTGAAGAGGAACATCACTTACCCTAATGTTACCAAATCTGACACATGCAACAAAGCCTGTAGTCTTAACATAGCACATTCTAAATTCCACATGGGAATAACTAATTATTACTAGTAATAATTCTGATTCCCATAGGGGAAGATGCTGCTAATAATGTAACTAGGGACAATTCATATAGGTATTTCACTAGGAAAACCTCCAGTTCAAGAGGAATCAGTTCAGGGAAATCCTAGTGAATGAGCACAGCATCCTTCCAAAGATCAATTCATCACACAAGTATATCCTAAATACACGTAACAAGAAGCAGTCCTGTACAAAAAAAGACTAAAACCAGAATATTAAAAGTATCACATTTATTTGTGACCACTCTTATGCCTAGTGTTCTCACCTACAGGTTGCTGCTACAAAGGCCATCATCTCAAATTCAGTATGGTAAAAAGTTGAGTGGGAAAGTAAAATTATTCGCTGTTGCTCAGCAAGCCAATACACAAAACTGGTGTTATCACCAGCGCTGCGCCCAGGCTGAGGCTGTAAGACCACAACTTCAACTTCACCTATTGTGTCTTAAGTTACCACTGTGGATGGTAAAGAAAAGTCAGGTCACAAAAGACAGAACTATAGGGTCACTGAAAGGCTTTCACTACATCTGTCATTTGCTTTCTCCTCAATGCTATTTGTTTGTGCTTCATGGCTGTTTCCATCCCATCACAACAGAAAACCTTCACCTACAGGATCCACACTAAATATAGCATACCAAGATGCTCACAAACCGAGTAACACAGGACAAATACATTTTTATGTAAATTTATTCATTAGCTTTAACAACAGTAATACATAAATCAATACTATGTCCAGCATAAGGTTGTATAATAAAATATGCTATTCTGGTAAGATTGATTTCTAGTGCGTACATTTTAAGGGCAGTTTTCATCCAAATTGGACACATTTAAAAAAAAATAAATAAATACAAGGCCAAAAATGCTTACTTAATCAAAGTCCTGCTAAGTAAGACTTCAGGCTCCACATTGCTTCAAAGCACTAATCAGTACAGGTGTCTGTGTACATCTCAGACTTACAAACAAATGGGTTGTGCTCAAGCAGCATACAGTTTCTGACATCTGACTCAGACCAACACAAACAACATTTCCAATTTAGACCCCTTCATTCCTCTTATAGCTACCATCCAACTTTCTTCTTTCTCTTTTAGGATTGTCTTGCCTCTCAGCTGTGTATCTGCACATATGAATCCTAGCAACATTATGTGCACAAAATACAAAGGTCCAGTACCCTCCCAATACTACTTTTTTTTTGATTGAGATCCAGATTGCACTATCTAGCAGAACTATTTATGAAAAAAATTCCCACTAAACTCAAATAAGACTACTTTGTTCTTGCGGGGGGGTGGGCAGGAATTAAAAAGACTTTGAGAACAGACGGGAACACGGTATGCTCCCGGCTCTATTTGTTATGTTTTTGGAGCTCTCTAGACTTTGGGATGACTGGTGCGTAGTGCTACAGCAGTAAGCTTCAGGCACACTGGGTTCTGTAAGCTATGGACAGCCCACAAGATGCTGCATTTTCAGCTTTGTTTCCCTGATGGCCAGTGAGTCCAATATATACAGCGGCACTGAGATGTTCATCAAAGTGCATAGAGGCATTCACTGACATTTGGGCTACCTTCATACTCAGAAATATCAAAATCTGGTCCCAATTTAGATTAGATATACATAAGAAAACATATTTGGCAAATCAGAGGTATTTTATTTCCTAGTGTACTTATCACATACTGTATAGGCTATCCTTTGGGCATCTTTATTCTACAAATCTAGATAAGCTTGTTCTAGTTGTCTTCTGATTTTTAAATTCTGCTGATGGCAGAATTCCCTTTTCCTTAAGAAGTTACACTCAGGATTGAGTAACAAATTTTAAAACTACTCTAATTTACACACTTTATTATATCAAAACAAGACCCAAAACAAGACCCAAAAGCTTGGTCAAAGTATAAACACTTATAAACCTAGAGAAAACATCCCTGAGAAACTTGCAGTAATTATTAGTTTTGGTCCATTAGAGGAGAAAAAAGGTTAACATCCAGTTATTGAATACTGAGGGCTACAAGTACATTGGTTGTACACTGGATTCCCATTCATTCACTTTTACTCCTCTTACAAAATATTCTCTGTGAGAGGGTTGGGTTGTTTTTTTTTTTGCATTCTATTTAGTTTGATATCAATGTGATCATTACAAGTTTTAAGATGAATGGCCTAGATTCAGCCCTGGTGTAATGCCTTTAAGGTCAATGGAGTTCACACACTTACATTCCAGGGTTGAAGTCCGGCAACATAGATGGCTGTGTGAAGGACAGTACCTAAAATTAAAAAAAACTTAAAAGCTACAGATGGTACTTTTCACAAGTTGCTGACATATGTTTTTGCATACTACTTATTTTGCAATCAAACATTCTACAAAGATTTAAGTTTAAAAGTCACACTGTCATGCTGTAGGAAAACTGAGAACACTACTGGGTTCAACTCTACTGAGAAAGCAAAGTGCTTCCACAAAAGTGCACATACAGTTAACGACTGAAGTACGGTGTTAGTACATGTACAGGGGACAAAACAAAACAAAAGCACCCAAACCCACAAGAACTTCTTGAAAAACAGAGGGATATATCATTCTTCATTGCTCTGAAGTTGCTTTAGAGGGCCACACAGTCCAACATCTCCTTGGTTTAGCAGTATTTTAGAACAAACTAAGTCAAAATTCACATACATGTAAAACAGATAAATGCAAGTAATCCACTTCTTTACTACTTTTGCCTGGAATACTAATAGTTTTCCAATGCATCAGGCTTCATTAGGGTTTCTGAAAACAACAGCACTCAAAAATAAACTAAAGCTGCTTGTAATCTGAGGCAAAAACTAAGTTAGCCCTAGACTTTATCTTTCTGTACCAGTACTCCTGACCTTAGCACTTCCTGCTACATCAAACCTGAGCAGATCTGTCATTTGCAGTTTAAAAAGCCATGCTTTATAATGTTACATCAATAGCTTCTGCTAAAATGAGGCTATGTTTTACTTTATGAAGTGCAACAAAAGCATAATACAATACCTTTTACCTAGCACTTGTCATATTGGTAAGGAAACATGCAAAGAAACCTACAAAGGTGTTTCTGTAAAGTTAAACCAAACCAGACAGAATATTAAAAAGGTATTTTGGGAAAACATCAGAACTTCAGAGTCTGCTTCAGGAATTCAAGAAGGATGTTGATACCAATTTGAGAAGACAGGGAGCAGAACTGCTCAGTGTAGAGAAAAACAGAAAATCCCCACAAAACCAAATACTATCAAGTTATTCTGAAGCAACTAAAAAAAAAAATCCTTGTTTTGCTAAATGAGCACAAGAATTGTTCAGAATTCACAAACAAATTGAGTATGTAAAAAAAATCACTAAACAGTATCACCGAGGGGGGTCACCAACAGAAATTCAACACTATTTTTGTGATCAAATACTAGATATGTGACTTGTGGCGATCCTTTGAAACACCAGCTGTCAAAATCAAACCAGGTTGTCCTCTGCCAAACATGAAATGTTTTTACAGGGTCACTGTACGATGAATTTAGCTGTCTTGGGACAGCTTCCTCAAACTGTTAAGTTACACATTCAACTCTAGAGAAACACCTTAGGGTCACAAAAGGCAGTATATATATGTGTTTAACCATTATATTTATGTATGAAGTTAGTAAGAGAAGTGGATCCTTTCAGACAGTAGATGTATTAGCAGGTGGTGAACTGTCAGAGACCGCTTTGGGATCAGGAGTGCAACAAACAAAAAGTTGTTTTCCCAAGCTTTTTTGGGCAAATCTGAAGTACATTATGTGGCCCATTGCAACAAAAGACACAGAAATAAGCACCAGTAAGCCAAACGCTTCAGGGTTTGGGGCCAAGATGACCATGATGAAGTGCAGCAAATCAAGAAGATAATTCATGGAGTTTTGGACACCGTTTATGATGCCTCTTTCAGATTCTACCACGTTTTCTTGGAGCAACTGTGTGACAGTCAAATCAAAGGACCAAAGGCCTATGGAGAGAGAACAGAAAAAAACAAACAAAAAAAGAGTTATCCATACAACTAGGCTTCTTGCAGTAAGCTTCCATTAGCGGCACAATTCAATCCATACTTCTGAACACTCACTTCTGACAAAAATGCACAGGATAAGCTAGCCGCTTGTCAGACTAGAATGGATTTCACACTGACAGCCAAGAGCAATTTACTTTCCCTTTCTTAATACTTCCTGAAATAATACATACAGCTTGATACATTAACTTGCCTGTCACATCTTGCTTCAACAAGTCTATCAAGTTTAGTTTAAAATTATTTCCCCTTGTCCTATTGCTACAGGCCCCACTAAAAAGTTTGGCCCCATATTTCTTACAGGCTCCCTTCAAGTATTGAAAAGCTGCAATAAGGTCTCCCCAGAGCCTTCTCTTCTCCAGACTGAACAACCCCAACTCTCTCAGCCTGTCCTCATAGGAGAGATGTTCCATCCCTCTGGTCATTGTATGGGTACAATGATCATCAGTGTATTCACACTAGCTACAATTGCTAAGTTTTGCATAAGATGGCTGCAAAAAAGCAAACATGTTTTAAACTATGCAGAATACATAATAATTTACAATACTCAGCTGACACTAGCTTCTATACTGTTTCGTCCATAAGTGATTCAGTTTTAAGTTTATCTTGCAAGCAAACTTAATACATATGAATCAAGTATTTTATTCCTCCAAAATTCAGCAAAAGCTGCAGAAATTAAAAGTACCAAAAAAATCCGCAGCAGAGAAATGCTGTTATTACATGTACGTATTTGCCTCTTCTGCTGACAGATACTAACACTGCACTAACCAGCAGTTCCTCAAAAAATCATAAGCTGTCATCCAAAGCAAAGTTTCTGTTCTAAAGTCCTTTGCTGGTGATAAGTTTAAAGGTTAGACAATTTATTTAATGAATTGATTCATTTAGTAAACTGCTAAGTTTGAAGATTTTCATAGCAGATATGTTTAGTTCTGTTTCCTATTAACAAATGGTTTTATTTGCTTGCAAAGGAAGATCATTTAGAGATAAGCATTCCAAAAAGCACGTTACATTCATCTCCAATGGTAATTTTTCTCCTATTAGTGATATAGGGTATGTAAGAAATTAGTACTGCAGTCTCTGCACTGATGATACTATTGCAATATAATTTCATTTTTTATGTGAAGTATAATGAATTACCCTTAGAAACCTGATATAACACTTCAATTGTACCCTATAATTCTAAACTCAAATCTGTATTTAGTCAGACTGTAATTTTTAGAATTAAAAGCAGTCAATAGATCGGATTTTACTAGAGACATAATACTTACCAACTCTAGCAGCAATGACTCCTGCAAACAGGAGACTAACAGAGATTAAAGGCACAGGCTCAGGACTCATCTCTGGGTCACTGTTAGCAGGAGTAGCAGACCCGTTTAACAAGGTAGGCATTCCAGTTGCAAAAACCATTTCAGGCTTATCTTCTGGAGATGCTATAGTAGGTAATGGTTCACTTTCAAACAGCCTGGCACTGATGTCAGCAAATGGGGAAACAGTCAAATCCAGAGGACTTCCAGGCATGAATACAGAGATGGCACACAAGACCAGACAAGAAAATTGAGCCACTCCAGAAATAAGGCCTGTGCGAACCAGGCCACATTTGCGACGAAGCCAAGTGAAAGCTACTGTTCCCATGATTCCAGTGACTGCTGAGGCACCCATGAGGAGGCTTAGCACAGAGCCACTCAGACCCTGAGTGTATGCATAGCCTGTAGTAATACAATCAAAGCCCAGAACAGTCATATACAGAAATGCAAGACCCATGCCTGCAAGAAACACTGGCTGGTTGTAGTATGCAACCCATCCATCACGAAACGTGATGAAAGGTTCAGCAATCCGGGCAGCGCAGCTGACTTCCTTCTCCTGTTGGGGCTCAAAGCCAGTTACATCTTTCTCAACAATTAACTGCACTCCTTCAGCAGGTTTCATGTCACTCTCTGTAAACAGAAATGCAACTGTTAGATACACTCCTGCCTGGAAAGCACAGAGTGTAAACTGCAAGACAGCTGTTTGCAGCTAGTAAGTTCACTGCTGCCGAAGTGCATCAGTTAAATGCTGCAATCAACCTTCCCCTAATTATTTAATATTTTAAATTGACCTTAAATCCCACCTGTATAGTAAGATCAAGCAAAGTTTATCCCTATCAACTTAAGCTCCTGCTTATTTAATTAAACTATGGTAGGAGAAAGCATAGCCTGCTTCTTTTCAGTAGGCTTCTGACTGCTCTATTTCCATAAACAAATTACTCATTTAACACATAACGCAGCTTTGTATGTTTAAATGCTCTTACCACAGAAAGTAGGAAATACTTCAATATCTGTCAGTATCTCATGTCATGGTAGAAGAACCAAGGCAGAGATGCTTGCTGAAGCCTAGTAAAGCTAAAAGCTTGCAAAACTTAACTTTAAAAACATCTCAGATCATGCTTTTCTACAATTCCTTTTTCACTTTAATACAGGGGAAAGGCACTTCCACCAGTCACAAACAAAAATCCAGAAAACTCACAGCAGTATTTAGATCAGTAGTGTGGATAGAAGCTGTATATATGTTTGGGTGCCCGAGCAGTTACACTGTCAAGTTTGAAACAAACTCCACATACAGAAAGTGAGACACACGAAGTTATTTATGCAACTTTTAAAAAATGCAAGTTGCCTACTGAAATAGAACACTGCAATAGTAAAGATTAAGAAATGTTTCCTACATATTGACATTTGCCAAATGCTTCATTCTTCAGGAGCATTCAAGAGTCACTACCAAACCAGTAGAGCCTTCTACGCTCTTCATCTTGCTCCCCTATCCTAGGCTGCCATCAGCTTAGTCCAATAGCTGAACTGGACCTGCTACTACAATAGACCTGCTGGTTGGGAAGACAGCGTGTCTCTTCAGCACTTATACTAGCAGCATCCTACCTCACTATATGTTAGCAATATACTGATTATAATTTGAACAGTTTTGCATTTTCAATACCTTTCTTTACATTCAGCTGTTTCAGTTCCGATTCTTCAACTTTTGCAGATTTGAGAGCCAGAGTAGGAGTTTTCTGATAAACCTTCCAGAGCAGCAGATATTCCACACACATTGACATCAGGTTCCAGCCAGAAATGAATCCACAGCCAATCATCGGGGAGCCAAATGTCATTATCTGACCAACTGCCATTGGGGCCAAGATATTGGTCAACTGATCAATTCTTCTTATTGTGGCATTCATATCTGTCAGAAATGATTTGATGCTATGAGTAATTGCTAAACACTTACAGTGAAATATTTGCTAACATAATTGAGGATTGCACATGTAGACACATCAAGCTGAGAAGTCCTGCCCTAACTGGAAGTGATTCCAGTAAGTGCAGGAGTTATACTGCCTACCAGGGGCATCTTTAGACTGTTCCAATGTTTATTCAGACCAACCAAGGTGTTTGTAAACCAAATCCCTACTCCCACCAGTTTTGCTGCATGAGTTCTTCCAGGTTTAGCATGCTGGGTTTACAGTGGAAGTGTATTCCTGCAAGTAACACTGTTAGTCATGAGATCAGATTACCCTTACGTCCTAGTGGCATATGGACTCCTAAGCCTGTCCCTGTAACATTCAAATCCAGCATGCACAACTCCAGACACTAATAGAAATCTCATATGATGAGAGCCTTTCCTGTAAAGATAATTTTAGCAACTACTATCTCCCAATAATGGAGCATGTATTTCTTAATCTCCTCCATTACTTCTAATAACTGGTGACCACAGTACCCACCATGATAGCAGCAGACCTTTGAAACTGGCTCTAAATTTCCTTACCGAGTCACATCGGTTGTAGACATTTACTGAGCAAAGTCCTTACTCCTTTCTGTTCCACACTTTGATGTTTACGGTCAAAATAATCAACCCATTCTTAGCACAAATGCATCTTCCATTTGCTGGCAGGGGATCTCACCCTTTAGTGTCATTACACCCTCTGGGCTCCTCTGGGTTTCCCATTAATGTCCACCCTTAACAGTTGCTAGATGCTCAATGGTTTTGCACATTAGGGCTTCAGGCTGCTTAGAAGTATGTATCAAACCCATTTTAGGGTTCTACTATGAAATTAGAGCTTTTGAAGGGCAAGTGAAACTGTAAAGCAGTATGAAGCTGCTTTTTTTGAATCGGCAGAGAATTGCTCCTTGTCATTCAAAGAAATGTTTAGGTTATTCTATTAAAATTCAAAGTCAATCCAGTGTTAACTATCTGACTAAGATGATACTTGCATAATATTTGGCTTTAGAAATTTCAATAACTAAGCTTTGTTTTGACTTACTTGTCCAGAGCTAGTATTTCCACTCAGGAAAGGCACAAAGTAAAGAATGAATGGAAAAAATTAATCAAGGCCAATGAAGAAGGGGAAGCCAAGGCAATTTTTTATTTGCCTATTCCAATGCCAGCGTTTAATTTTCTAAGTTAAGGAATTTCAACAGTCTCATTATGATTAAACACATAGCAAACCAGGCTGGATGCCCTGGAAGAGATCTTTTGGATAGATCTGTTGAACCAAGGTGCTTAGTTCAGTGGGTTCTTTTGTTTTTAAATTAAGTTGCATCAGAATTCAGAGTTACCCCTTGCCTGATTTTTCAGTACAGAATGTCAGTGGCCACGTAATTCTGCCTGAGATCACGAAGCAGTACAAAGGCAGGACTGCCTCCCATGCAGCATGCCTCTGCAGGTGTGGTCCATACTTTATCTCATGTGTAGTAAGTAGGACAGGGATTGAGGAGATAATTTGCTGAATAAGATCTGACACAAGAAAGGTTAATGAGAACCACTAGAACTTTAAGGTTTTTTCAGATAGATAATATTTTCTACTTGTGATTCACACACATAAAGTTAACCTGTACTGCCGCTCTACAACAGACATGACCTAGAAAGGCACTGCAAGGTCAAAATAAAAACTATGATGGAAAATGTGTATATTGGGAAATGAGAGCAAGACACTTCTAATGCATCTAATTAAGAACTAGCCTCTCCTGAATGAGATAGGGAAATAAGATTCCTTCATTGGAGATAAACATCAAGAATAAAACTGCAATATAGGATTCAAATCCCTAAAAGGACTCTGGCACGTAAACAGAACTTCATGGGCAATTTAGGCAGCTTCATACAAAACTTAAGAGTCCAGAACCTGAAATGCAGTCTAGGCCTAGAAGTATCTAAACTCCACAAGTGTCAGACTTAAAACTTTAGTTCCAGAATTATTTTAGTGAGCTATAAATGTCTTGGCAATGTTAAGCTACTCTGTGCCTTGTTTGCAGTTCTGTATCAGTTCCTCTATCTGGGAAGGCTCAAGTCCCCTTATAGGGTTGATTCAGAGCCCATACAGCTTGCCTAATTTTGTCACGAAAAATGCTGCTTCCCACACTGTCTGTTAGAATCAGAGCAGCAGCACAGCCAAAGATCAATCATACACCCCTTGGTGTGAGCGGCCTTGTGGCTAGGAGTACTCCCCAGCAAAGGAGAGTCAGATTCGATGCATCCTTGGGGAGGATCCCAAACAATCTCTCACATTTAAGCAGTGTCACTACCACCAAGCTGCAGTAGAAATTGAATGGGAACTCATTCTCTCTCCTAATAATGTCATGCCACTGTGCAAGAAAGGGGAAAATGAAGGAAGAATATTTACTAGGCAAAAGAGATTGAGCCTGTAGTCTAATACCAAAGGTATCAGATGTCAAAGGAACACAGAGCTTTCAGTTCCAGCTGCAGAGAAGTGTTCACAGCTTTGAGCTAGACATATTATGCGAGAGAAGTGCAAGATTTCAAATGTATCTGCATGCACTGCATTTCCTACTGGCAATTTCCTGATCCACCTACTTTACTGTTCTGGACTTCATTCTCATGTACCTCTTTCTTTGATCCTATGTGAGGAATCCAGTTACGCAACAGTTTTCTGTTTCATTCCAGGGACCTAAAAATAAAGTATTGCAACACTTGGCTTTAAGTGCCTGGAAGTTAAACAGCTTTTCTATTAAACACTGGTTATTCGATTTAAGAGTGGGGTGCATGTTTATTTGTTCAGCAAGAATAAAGTTTTCCTGAAAAAGCTGCAGTAGAAGTAAAAGGAGGACAAAACAAGTTTAGGGATGCCTAACTGAATTGTAATCATAACAGTAATTTCTAATCTCAGTTAAATGCAGACTAGAGCAAGGAAGAGGAAAATAAATGCTGACTGTTTTACCTGCTATTTTCTCATAATATCTGAAGCTCAAAATTGTGCTGACCTCTGTAAAAATCTAGTCTAAATATCAAGCGTGGAAAAGACATTTAAGGTATTAAAATGCAACATATTTCACCTGCCAGTTTGCTTCTGTCTTCCCCTGCAACCACAACAATCCAGTCCCTCTGAATTGTGATCGCTGTGGCAGTGCTGGCCAAATTGGCAATATTTGCTATTGTGATAACCAGGATATAGCACATCGTCTAGAGAAACAGGGAGAAAGAGTTACAATGTGAGAAAAATTATTAAGAGAGATCTCTACTCCTATTCTGTACAACCAGAAGAGATACTTCTACATTTGCATCCATACATTTTAGTGTTATCATTCAGACAAAACAAGACCAAGTCTACTCTGTAATTCCTGACAGAAAACAACCACCTTTGTTTAGTCAACTAACTCAAAGTTTCATTTGCCAATTTTTGCTCCCAGGAACGTCTAAACAGTCTACAGAGAAAAATAAAAATTAATCTATCTCCCATGCTCCCTGAAGTTTCTTTGCAAGTTAAATCCTTATTAACAAGTTCAAGCACTCACAAGAAGCCATCCATGGTATAAGGTCAAAAGTTGTGTCTTAAACAAGAAGACAATCATCAGGAGAATACCACACAGGATGACAGATGCATTCTGTACAACCAAGGATGTCTGGGCCACTGTTTTAAATCAAAACAGAAAGCAACAGTTATGAACATAAGAACGAGCTAAGTATAAACTTAAGGAGGTTATAGTTATAGAACATGCAGAGATTCTTAAAATTTTTTTTATTTTCCTATTATACCCCCAAAATGTAAATGGTAAAACTACACTACTTATTAGATTTTGAATCTTCCACTGTCTTAGAGAAACAAATTAATGTCTGATGTAAGTCTCTAGCTCTTAACAATTCATAGCTCTTAACAACCTACAGTCCGAGTAGGTCTTTTCTCAATCAAAACCCAAACTGTACATATTAAAGTGCTGACACTATTACAGGGGTAAAAACAGGACTTGGCTTGAGTCTCTAAATTCAGGGCACCATGGAAGTGATGCTATGTTGTAAGCTCTCGGAAAGTAAAAATGCGTATGAAGACCATGCTGCCATGTTATTTATAAAACAGATTACAGCATGCATATTTAAAATATGTATAAGGCAAGTGCAGTGCACCTTTACCCTTAAGTGGAAGATGTTTATGTCCAGACAGAAGAGAACAAATAACACAAGTGTATGTTAGTATCAGACTGTAAAGAACTTGGTCCACAGTCCTTAAAGTTATGTGCTTTTTACCTTTTGCATTTCCATGTATCTCTACATATCATACAGGTTTAGCTTGAGTAGTGGACATATCATGACAAACAACTGTTTTCCTCCTGTCTTTGACACTATTTTTGTATAATCATTGCCACTCTGAAACACTACCCTTTTTAAAAAATACTGAGCAAGCCTTGTTCTCATATTTGACTTGAGGTGTTAACTCTTACCAGCTTTCTCTTTTTACATTAATTTGATCCATCTTTAAGTAGAGAACCTGCTCAGGCATCTAACCTTTGAGCCTGGAGTTCTTGTCCACCCAGTCTCCAATAATGGCTCCCAGGAGAAGAACTGATCCCGCCACAACCAGTCCGTAGACTGCAGTCAGGAGTAAGCTGTTTCCATAAAGTTCAACCAGGAACACAGACACAGCAAAATGCCACATACGATCTCCCTTTAAGAGTAACAGAGAATACATACACAACGTTACTATGTGCACTTTGCAAGGACACAAGTTGACCATTTTACTAATGCTCTGACAAAAATCTGTATTAAAATAGAGGTCTGTTACACACACAGGGGTGGGATGTGGGTGTTTTGGGGTTGGTTTTTTTTTTTTTGTTGGTTGGTTGGTGCTTTAGGGGTTTTTTTGTTATGGCGTTTGTTTTTATGACTACATCCTGTCACCATTGATTTCATCCCAGCATCACTAAGATCATCTGTCCTAATCAAGCACAACATTACACCATGTAATACTACATCAAAAATTGCAGATATTTTCTATTATAATATTACAGGATAAAGTCTGCTACAGGCCACATCCAACAATCCTCAGAAAGCTTACACAGATTCTCCAGCACAGATCAAATATTACCAACAGATTTACTGATCACCAATACTATTTAAAACCTTTTCAAGGCAGCAGTTTGTTCTCAGATAATCAAAGCTTAAATGCTACTTTAAAACACAAGAGTCAGTCAAACCAAAGCAAGTTATAATACAATCCAGGACAGACACAGGTAAATCAAGGAAAGTGTTGTCCTAAATGTTAACTGAAGTTTCTGAAGTCAATGGATTTAAGCTCTTTTTAATAATGTCAAGCATCGGCATATCACTAAGAGGTAGAATATCGGAGCTCATTTAACCTATTGCAAACTCATTGGTGGTTCAAACTATTTAGCCTATTGCTAGTTTAACCTAGTGCTTAGAATACAAAATTTTAATGTTCTGATACAACTTATTACAGGTGAAAAAAAAGCCCAAAATGCTGTAAATACATCCGAGTGAAGTAATTTTCATACTATTCAAAACATTTTTAGGTTTGCTACCGTAACAGATCTGTGACACAGTTGTTTAGTAAGGGTCCCTAATGTCAGTCTTTTATAAACCAAACATTAAATTATTTTCTTCTGCTGCCTTATCTTAAATAAGCAATTGCTATGTGATACAGCAAACAGTACAAATTTCTAATGACCTCAAATATTCTTATGGGCTGGAAGAGGTGTAACATAAAAGCACTTTTAAAAAGCAAAGTCTAACACATAACATAGAAATCGAGATAAGTAAAAAGCATGGTATTTGTAGGGTCAAAATAACTGCAAAGTTTGATTAAAGTCTTCAATGTAGTATAGACACAGAAACAAAATTTGCCTTTTAGTATTACTGAAGTTCTCTGAAGGAAGTTTCTTCAAAGATTGTAATGTGTAAACATTCATATTTGTTTCCTTAATCACAGGCAGAAAAAAAATTACATCCCAATCATGTGGGAAGAAAAATTTCACCTGTTCAAGGAAAAACTCTGGGTATTTTGTGTATTTTCTAACTAAAGCCAATTAAAAAATGCAAACATAAGCATGATCAGCTTAGATGTGCTCTCTCGTATGTAACAAACCCATTTTCACTCTCCAGAGATACCTAAAGTCTTCTGTAAAATATGTTCCACTTCTATTACATGGCTAGTACAAGTATATAGAAAGTATTCCAGCAATGAAAACACAAGGATATAATTTCCCAAGACTACCATTCACTTAATATGACCTGAGGTACATCTTTACTGAATTTCACTTAAAATACTTAACCTAGGTAACTTGTTTATTAAGCTAAAAAAATAAGCCAAAAGAATACTTTCATGTTAAAATTTCATAACTGAAGTTTGGGTTGTTTGTTTGGTTGTTTTTTTTTCTTTATGCAGAGATGTTTCAGTTACTGAATGGTGCCAAGATGAAAAAGGCATTTAAAAAAAAAATAAATATGTGAAAGTCAGTGCCAATCACTACTGTCAAGAATGAAAAACCTGATCTCACTTGAATTTCACAGGAAGATTCCTTTGACTCCAGTGAGATCATAATTTTGCTATACAATTAATTTAAGGAGCCTGTGAACTCTGTTCAACCCTACCCAACATGTGTACCCAGATTTTGATCAGGCCAATCCACACAGATAATTTTGGGGGTAACTAAAGCTGTTCCAACCTGGAAGTATGAGTTTATTTCAAGAATTAAAGATGACAAAGAGCAAGCAAAGATAAATTAGTGTCACAGAAGAACAGTATTAGTGAATTACAGAGGTTGAAGCAGGTATGTAACTTCAAGCTAAGATCTACTAAAATTTAAAAGTAAATACTGCCTTCAGAAATGGGCAAAGCCTTGATTATATACTTAATCCCACTTTAAAAAGTCTCAAAATGTTGATATTTGAATGCTGTTAAACAAATAAGTACAGCTGTTTAGCCTCATCATCCTTTTAAAGAAGGTTCTTGTTCTTCTGTTATTATAGTTATCCTTATAATCACCTCAGACTGTATGTATCTCAGAACTGGAGCCAAGAAGTTAAGCAGCAGCCAGGCTACTACCTACTGACAGGCCTCCGGAGGTCTGAGTGGCACAGATAAGGCTGGCAAGTTGCAACTGACCTCCCTGGCAAGCACTAGGCCTGGCACCAACAAGGTGAACCCAGTTTCATTCTGTTCTTTCTTTACTGCTGAGTGACAGACAGCACTGAACTAAAAACATAAAGGCAATAGCATAAGGTTTGAGACTTCAGTTCAGCAGTGCAGTCCAGACTACCAAGATCACTGAGGCCAAGCACACATCCAAATGCTTTACTGAACAAGCGCCTAAGATACAGTCTAGACTTTGTTCAAATCCGAGCGTTTGTGGAGATGTGACACATTTAATCATTTACAGGTTCTCTCCGTATTTGGGAATGGCTTAGTAACACAGAAACCAAATTAGCTCTCAATTACAGCAAAAGCACATTTCTAGCAGGTTTTATATTGTGGACACAGCCATTTTAGAACAAAGATGATCTATTACTTTGAGTTCTGAAGATTAAAGTGCTTGTTTATTTTTCCTGTTAGCAACAACATTCAGACTACAGGAACACTAAAGCTTCAGAGATACAAAAGGTACAGTCCTGCACCCAGCTCTGTCAAAATAAGCTATATTTCTGATGTTTCAGAAGGTTTGGTTGAGTTTTTTTGAGTCAAGATCTTCTGCACAAAAGAAAACCACACTGTAACAAGGACTATACTGTTAATATTGCCGAGCCAAATAGACATCTTGCAGTCTAATATTTGTTACTGTGCACAACTCTGTTTTCAAACTCCACTTTGTCACCTTCACCCAGGTACTCTGAGAGCACTTCCACTGCCAGCTCTGAAGCACCCACAGGAAGGAGTAAGCAGGGTTGGCCAAATTGCCAGTCAGGCACTTTGTGGGCATTACTGACAAAAACCGTGGCAGGTAACAACCCTGGCCTCTGAAAAGCGGTGAGCCAAACAGAAACATCACCACTCAGCTCCTTCAATATTAACAATTGCTAAAATATTGCACTTATTTAAACAAGAGTTTGATATCACCCCAAGCCTCCTTTCATTAACAGAAACAGCAATATGACCTTTCAGGTGAGTGAAAGCCAGGAGCTGCCAGCGTTGGGCATGTAATGTTGTAACTGTATATCAGCCATTTGTTCCGTGCTATACAAAGCTCACATTAAACCAGTCTAAATACAGGGCTAAAGGCTACCAGGGACTATTAGGCAGGAAACTTTCCACTTCTTTTTGAATCAAGCCATCGGATGGAGACTTAAGATTGTATTATAATATACATATATTCTTAATTATATCATATAGAAGAGAACCAGGATGACTATTTTTAGTGCCTAATTTAATATTTTTTTTAGTAACTTTCAAGTGAGTAAAAACTGGTGTAGTAAGTCGCTTTAGTACAGAAGGAAAGCATTTCAGAAGGCAAACGTTTTCTCAGAAAAAGAGACATCTCCTCAAACTCTCAACAGGTTTGCTAATGAGTAGTAGTAATAAGTCCATTGTAAATATTTAGTATTTCCCATTAGCAAGTGTACTATGTATACAAGTCCTTCGAATATATGTTGCAATGGACTGTCTGTCATGCTCTATAGATTATGCTTCATTTCTTTCACTCAGAGCTTACTCTATAAGGAGCCTCACTGATTTTGCAGTCACTTAAAAGCATAGAAAGGTACAGAACCAGGCCCTTGGGAAACGGAGTACCACACTACTCTGCACTAATGAAAACTGAATCTACTGCAGTAAGTCATGTAAAGCTTATGAAGACTTTTAACAGCAAGGTGTTGTGCCTTTACTCACCCAAGTGGACAGGGCATGCCCAAGGTAAAGAAGAAACTTTGCCGACGTAAAATAGGCAACCACCGATCCTAAATGAGAAACAAGAAACAACGCTGAGGGAGATTCGGGCACACCCACCGCACTTCGCCGCACACCAGGTACTAGTCGCCGTTCCAGAGCGAAGCCGCCAGCGGGACACACCGCGCTCCG